GGTTTCTCGCTGGGCAGTTTAGTCAACCCTGCCAGCATTTAACTTTTATGGAAATTGTCCTTCACATGTTTTAATAAAAAGTATCGTGTTTCAGTATGTATAACTCTATTTATTCGATTAAAAAATAATCCGACGCCACTGATCGCTCGGTGATGTTCGGCCGTCGTGGCTGCTATCTCTGGCTGCTGTCTTCATACCGGTTTAAAATCAACCGTAAGATTCGGAACCAATGGACTTCTCTGGAAAAGTAAGTCAAATGCGTTGGGACCGGGCAATCAGGGAAGAAGAGTGAAATTGTTTGGACAACTTGCAAGGCACCTTCACCAAGAGACCTTATCCCCTTCCCAACGATCAAGAAGATATTTAACAGCATCCGGCGGTAAGGAAGACACCGAGATGGAGCCCCCACTGAAGGAAATATCCTATAATATCAGAGTTCTCCAAGATAGAAAACTTGGTGTTCAAACTTTGAGATACTACAGTGTCTTCTGAAAAATAAATAATGTCATTGGGAGACAAGATGATGTATCGTCCTGGCCAGTAGCTAATGGAGAAACATCAAAAGCTGATTTGAAGACTTTTTCCTAGGAACCAATGAAGAAGTTTAGCTGTAGGCTGTAATCATCAAAATCAAGATTGCCAGAGGGAAAATGAAAGTAACTTCAGCTTATTTAAGTCCAAAGATCAAATTAAGTATTGGAAGAGGACATTCAGGAACAGTTAACTATAAAAAAAAACTTCCATCAGCTTCTTTGAAAATCTCAACAGAAAATATCCAGACAGAAATGGAGACACAGAAGCGCCATCGTCATCAGATTGGATCGACTAACACCCTCTGTACGTGTTAGCCAATAATAAGTTATTTGGAATGTACCCATGTACCAAAACTTTCTTCCACAGACAACACCATCGGGACAAAAAAAACAGAAGAAGAAACACCCAGAATTTACGGACTAGGTTGAACACCTTTAGAAAAAGACCTTACTTAATCATCCCAAGTAATCACAACTACGTTGTGTCGTAACAACACAACGTTTAACAATTGTAATATGCGGTCGAAGCTGTGGGGGATACAAAATTTGAAGATTGTAGAGTTGGTTGAGATGCAGAGTAAACAGGCCGGATAGGCGGCCCCAACACTCTTCAGTGTGTGGTTTTCGGTGAATTTAGACATAGAGTCTCCTGGCTCTATCTATCTGTATCTCCATCAGCGTGAAGCTTTAAAACTCGAAGACTATGTGGGTGGTGGTTTCATCCTCCTCGTCACAAAGTCTGCATATGGGTTCTTCTTGGAAGATGCCCATTGTGTGAAGGTGTTCTCTCAAGCTACAGTGTCTGGTTATGAGTCCAGTGATAAGCCTCATTTCATTACTGTTTAGTTGTAGGATCTCTTCAATAAGTTTGGGTGATGGTTGTTGTACCATCAGCTTACTGTGTCTGAGCTTCGGAAGAGTTTGCCAGTGAGTTTGGTGTTGTTTATACACCAACTGGTTTATTATTGTTCTCACTGAAACTTTTGTGGTGCGGGACCAGTACTGATCCGTCTCTTGCTAGAGCATCTGCTTTTTCATTTCCTTCAATTCCTTTATGCCCTGACCCCAAGTCCTCCAGATTTCTTGTTGCCCAACAGCTCTGACTATGGAGTTAGGGCCAGCCTCGATGGAGTTAGGAACAGAATACGGAATAAAGAGCAGAACGTAGGAAGCCAGAAGCCACTCTGCAGAAGTAACTTAGAAGCGAGAGAACAATCGGAATGGCATGAACAAATGCTGTAAGATTTTCGTGAAAATGTTGGCTCAATGAACATACAGACGAAGGTGAAGTTAACTGAACCGCAAGGAAACTTCTCACTCAGTACCTACCCACATGAAGCCACTTTCAAGAAATTTTAATGATAGTAATTAAAAGCATGAATCGCCACTATCTCAGACACAAGTCTGTAATAAAAGTTTTAAATAAATATCAACCCAGATAGCACAAGTGCCAGACCAGCAAAGTATTGGGGATATCCGGGTCGGACATCTAATAAGTTCCGTGTATGCCTTTTAAAAGTCCTTGATCTGCCCTGGGACATACCTAGGACAAAACCTCCTATACTGTGTACCTCCTGGAAAAAAGTCCCATGGAGGTTACAGGAGGAAATCCTGGGCCTGTGTAAACAAAACTCCTATGAACGTTCAAAGAGAACTCCTACGGATGTTAGGAATAGAACATTCAAGGAGGTCTAAAAAGAACATGAATGATGTGAAATTTAAAGGGGAATTCCCAGGGACGTCTAAGAAAAACTCCTAGGGATATACAAATAAGAATTCCCAGGGGCGTTTGCATGGACATGGGATTTGAAACGAAAGTCCTCTCAGGATGTCACAAGTGTATATTCCTGAACTGGTCGTTTGCGGACATCCTGCGAAAACTCCGAAACGCTCAGACCTGGATGGGGTCTGAAACATTTCTAGATTAGCCGTTAGCGGACGTTCTCAGGATCCCGGTTTCAGTCTGGGACGACCTGTGCTATCTGGGAAGCAATGCCACGATGGGTCTAAAAATAACATCACCAAATCAATTTGATATAATACCATTTCCGGAAGTTTTCGAAATTTGTCATTCATGCTATTATTAAAGTTGAAAAGGACTGGAAGTTTCCACGAGGTATCGTTCCATCAACCTTTCGCTCCTTCTCGGCATGGAATCAGGAAGAGCAATTCGGATTCAAAGTATGATATTCGACGTGGCTACAGGCGCTCCAGTTATCTTCTACAACTAGAGCTGTCGTGCTAGAAGTTGAACGAACTTTCCATAGTGTGGCATGATGGAGTGATTCACAAGATGATTCATGCCGACTATCGAGCAAGGATTAAAGGCACGTACATAGAGAAACGATAATTCAAAAAAAAAAAAAAAAACGTGTGTGAGAACTGGCCTTTACAAGCTAACTTCAGCAAGTTCCTGGTTCGCAATTTCTTTCGAAGATCAAGACGGATCAGAAAACTACTGCAGCAATTGAGTTACTTTGTCATATTATTATTATATTATATTTTAGGTGTTTTTAATTGTAATCACCGGTATTGCTGTATATATTAATTATTGTAATGCATTTAAAGCAAGTACACTTATTTCCATTTAAATTTAGGTTTAGATTGCAATTAGGAGTCAATCTGATTTTTATGTAACTACAACTACTTCCATTCAGGTTTTACCTCTATTCAATGATTTTCGCCTAGGTCTATATCCTTTCGAATAATACCAATCCTTCCGGTTGCTAAAGCCACCTTTTTCGGCTGCAATTTTTTGAATTGCGCACGGCCTTGCTTTAGGACCAGCCACTCTTTCTTGGCGGCTTGGTTAAGCAAGTCGACATCAGTGACATCAGCGAGCCCTTCTGTTTTTGGGCAAACGTGCTAAGTTTTCTTAAAAGTCTCTTGAAGTGGCGAATCCTTCAAATTTCTTTCTGTGGTTCGGAGTTGCCACTTATGACTAATAAAGAAATAGTTTATTCGTCGACTCGGCCACTTTTTTTGTGATTTTATTGGGACATGCCAGGTATGTGACAATTCCTTCTATATCTTGAGCATCCCTCAAGTTTATAATTATTTCTCCAGCCTATCTTCATCTGCAACGACCTCTGGTGATGCCAGTGCTTGTATTGTGTACCAAATCATGGTATAGGAGCTCCTTGTTCAGGGTGAGTCATGTTTTTTTGCGTCCTATTATAACCTTAAAAGACAAGTTTTTTGTCTATTTCAACTTTCTTTAAATAAAAAGAGACTATCAGTAATTTAATTTTCTGGTAGGGTCCTACTCCTACAGGCCTAATATTGGTTCAATTCAATAAAGACTGCATGCTTCCCTAAACGTCATGTGCTCCTACTTCTGAGGTCACTTTCAAGGTCCCTGATGGATAGTGCCTATCGTCCCTGATGACACATCGACTTGGAAGTACTGACTACAGGTTTCTTCACGTTTAAGTTTTACTTTTTATATTATAATTTTTTATTGAGCATTAATTAATTAATGACTTCTTTCTATGTTCAGTTCACTGTTCGGTTGAGCATATGAATTTTCAGAGCAGATAGACCCAACGAGGTCATTTGATATTGTATATTTTTTATTGAGCATTGCCTAATAAATGGAATGACTCATTTTTTTGTTCAGTTCGCTGTCCGGTTGAGCATTTGAGTTTTGAGAGCAGATAGACCAGTAGAAAGGGTCCCAAATTAAATAAAATGATCTATCATTATTATTACATAATAGTAATTGGTAAAGTGTAGTACTGGGTTGGAATCTAATTATTCTAACATTTATGCGTCTCATTAAATTGACATTCTAAATTTTGTAATTTTTCATTAAACTTTCATTAAACATAATTTATTGGAGAGCGTTGCTGTATTATTTATTTTTATACTTAATATTTCCGATTTAATATTGAGGTCTGAGGTCTATTTCGAAGTTTGAGACCTTATAAAAAAAAACTTCGTGGCGCCGTCAGTGAACACTCCTTAAATACGACCAGAAATGCTTTCTGATGAACAGCTGCCGTAAGCAATAACATCTTTTTAATCCAAAGTAATTGGAAACGTTACACTACAACTGATAACTATTCTAACTAAATATCTTTCTTGATCTGAGATTAATTAATGTTGCCTCCAAATTTACTATGAAACTTGAAAAAGACAATCTCTTCATTCCTAAGATTATCCAACAGCTGCATAATTCTTTTAGATTAAACTAACATCGCCCAAAAGTTATACGCTTTAGGAAATACGAGTTCTTGCGCTTTACTTTCCGTTATTTAAGTAGAGACTGCAACAGTTACAAGTTTTGTCAGTCAATTATTTTTCCCCTAAAGTTTCGCAACAGTTTTTGAGTAGATAGGTAGGTACATGAAATAACCTACACCTATAGTTAAATACTAATTATTTTGACGACATTCTGCCCAGCTCTGATAAAATTACAAACAAATTAACAAAGTTATTAGAATAAACAACATTTATAATACTTACAATGAGTCGTACAGATAGTTCAAAAGTGAACCACGCGTTGCAAAAGTGATCCACAGTAATGAAATACGGATGCGGCTCGGTGCAATTCGCTTCCTTAATATTTTCGCACTCAACTCGCATTCCCGGGTGGGTTTTCAGGCAAAACGAGAAGACGGAAACACAAATAAAAAATACCGACGCTCCGGCCACTATCTGGAATAGAAAATATTTTTACTTTTCTTATTAGGGGTGAGGGATAACGGGAATTTTATTATAGGTGAAGGTATATGTGGCTTCGTGCAAGGAAGTTATAATGAGGTACGAGTTTACTTTTCGGCTAGGTAATACGGAAATTGTAAAATATTAGGTCTATTAGTTTTTGTTTTCTATTATGGTAAGCGTGATTTATAAATACTCTACTAGGACCAATAAAATCTATAACAAAATGCATCTATAGTAGATCAATCTACAATTCCAATTCTATCTACAAATCCAGGTTTAAATCGATTTTTTTTTTTTTCAAAAGAAATAAGTACCTACGTAAGGCAAAATGTATATTTCCAGGGCCTGAATTTACTAAAGGAACCCATAGAAATGTTTCAGGGAGTAATTCTTTGTTACAACTCGAACATTTCTCAAATGTCAGTAAAGCTTCTCCCTTTTTGTTAAGCCATTTAAGATTTTTAACTATTAAAGTCTGGACTTCAAGTTACTTGAAACTTGATTTTATTACGTGTCTTAGAGAGTTATACAACTGCACAATTATTCTCAGTCTAAGATTGCTTCAAAATACTCCATTCAAATATTCGCCTTTGCTTCGTAGTTCTCTGTCTTTTATGCAACTTAATTAAGTTTGGAATTTAGGATTCCTTTAAAAGCTGATAAATTTGAAATGGAAAATTAAAGAGATATTATTCATTCTGTGATAAACTGTTGAGTAATGCAATCTGACGGATAAAAACTCAATCTATAATTCTTTTGGTAGGCCAGTTCTCCACCGACTAATAGGATTATAGATGGGTAAGTTTATTTAGTAGTCAGTTGCCAGTAAGTTTATCTGAAGATAAATAAACCGGGCCCAAGTTAGATATTTCTGTTCATTTCATGTCCTGAAACATAAGTTTGTATTGCTTGAATTCTAGGACTTAGTAGAAAAAAGATGAATTTTGACTTTGATAACGTCTCTGTTTGCAGTTTTTTAAATCCCAAAAAGTGCAAACAAGCATCTACAATGTATGGGTTAGTTTGTATGTTATATTCAAATATGCGACCTCGTTTACCCAAGCAGTAGCCACGTGCCTCTCGGATTACGCAACAGGCCATCACGCCGAGACGTTCCAAGAAGCCTCGTCAGCGTATTCAGCAACATTTTCCGTGAGAACTATGCTGACTCCGTAATTAAATTCGAATCTATGTTAGTTTGAAGTAACTAATAAAAAAGTTTTTCAAAAAGTTAATATGGTGTGTCGCGATCTAACATTGGCGCAGTCGGTAGGATTCGTCAACATCAGCAGAACAGGGAAACCAACTGTCGACGGCGGAATCTCATCCTTTAACGGAAGAACCTACAACTCCTGGACTTCCTCACTCACGTCGGCAACGGAAGGAACACCAGGTGAAGCCCCTGGTTGCACAAAGTTGTAGAGAATAAGACATCCAATGCTACTAGTTGTAGTTACGTGAGTAATATTGAAGCATCTTAGGTTATCTCTTTTATTTTATTTGTATTTTTGATTTATTGATTATATTTTCACATTTCCTTCTATTAAAATTATCAAAAGAACCTTTAGTACAATATGCCAGAAACACGCAGAGCACAAGCAGAAATCGAACCCTATAAGCTTCCAGAAATTTTTTCCCTGATTCCCGAATTCGATGGATTACAAATTTCATTAGGTACCTACCTCTTTAAATGCTTGGGATTGTGCAAATGATATGATCGTCGGAAATCAAAAAGTTCCTCATAGGCATAAACATTAAAAACAGGTTAAGAGGCAGAGCCGCTCAGCTTGAAAATTTTAGAAACCCGTCTTCCTTTGCAGAAATCAAACGTCTGCTTAATCTTCACTTCCGAGATTCCAGAGATCTCTCCTCTTTATTAAGGACCTTCAACGCCTCAAGCAATTACAAGGTGAATCCCCTCTTACATTCTTTAACAGATTACAAGTGTTAAATGTCAAAATGCACGCTTTTATACAAAAGTCAATAACGATCAGAAAATAGCCCAATGCACCTTAATTGATGCCATGGCCCTTATTAATAATCTTCTGACTGAAATGGAGCCACGCCTTGGACGAATAATTCGTGATAAAGACAGTGGCGGTCCATAGATGATTTTCTGGGGGGGGGTAATGGATGACGGGAAAATCATCAAGTGTCGAATGGCTTCCCGCCGAAGGCGAAATTTTTTTGGGGTGTCCAAATTTGCACCTGGAAATTGTTTGAAACACACCTCAAGCCAAAATGTAGCCCGACGTCGGCAAAATAGTTATACAGGGACCAGGGTGTCCACTTAGTAGACGATATCTCCTTTCAGGGTAATGCAAGAAAAAAAAAAAATAAATACAAAGTTGTTTGATACTCTAAGGTCCATTAGTTAAAAATATTTTTGAATATACAGGGTGTTCCGTAAATGAGGTATGCGACAGACCTTTGTTATTTTAAATGGAACACCCCACATCTTAGAACATTAATGGATTGCTCTGAAAATCCCACATACTTTTTGTTAGAAAACTCGACCCTTTTTGAAATATTCGAAATTTTTTCAAAAAATTGCAGTTTATATGTATCAACAACAACCATAGTTTGTTTTTTTTAATGGAATACCCTTTATTTCACTGTATAGTGTAGGTACGTCGATACTGGTAAGCCTATCAATTTATACAATGCCTCCTATGTTTTACTATATAATTGTCTTTTGTTGAAATTTTATTCTTAAGTGTATAAAAAAAAATCTTTGTCTGGGGGGGGGGGGTAATTACCCCCTCTACCCCCCCCCCCTCTAAACAGCCCTTGGATAAAGCTCCCAAAGATCTCCCAGACGCCCATGCCCGAATTAGACGAGAGCTGCAATTGTCCTATTTCGAAACCCAGAAATCCATCAAACCAGTGAATGCTGTTAAGCAAGAAAATAATACACAAATAAAAAGGGCTCCTTCTCAAGGTACAAAATGCTACGGTTGTGGACGAACTGGATATATGTCATGTGAGTGTCGCTATCAACAATCTCAACGCTCTTAACTTTTTCCAGAATAATTCGTACATTAGGAGGGAAGGACATCAAACCCAAGCAACCAATTCAAATAATGCCCAACCCAGACCCAGTTCAGACCCTCTAATGCAACTCCACCATTTCAAGGGCAAACACGACCTTCAGTAATCCAGAAAGGGCCTAACTATCAGCAAAACCAACGAGCCCATGTAACGCGCAAAATTTGCGCTGCATCATTTCACGTATTTACTGCATTTTTCCTGGACTATTAATATTATTAATATGACCTCTAACTCCCTGTCGCATTTCTACCGCGAACCCTTGAGTAACTGGTACCTACAGGAATCTATATTTCTTTTCAAATTGTCATTTCCTGCTTCCGCAGCGCACAATAATTGGTGACAGCAATTTACTGATGTTTATCTATATCAAGATTCTGTATCGATTCGATCGCTAGTGGTCGATAATGACGGATTTATTTTGCTTATAAAACCGTATTTTAAATTATTGTGAATGGTATTGTTTTATATTATTATTTTATTGATTGTTGTTGATAGAATTGAGGTTTATGTCGTCTACTTCTCTACCAGGTGTGTGGTTTAAATATAATCATCACTACTTTACCTAACTTCAGACAGCTCCTCTATAATGTGATTTATTGACGGTTGATTGGGTTCACCCCTTTCAACTTGCTGAAGGTGACATTTGATTTTGGCACTTTCCTTATGCTTTCCTTTTACTCGCTTTCGAGGCTGGTTCAGGGTGATTTAAGTTTTGCATTTTTATTTAATTTTGCACCATTTTATGGGATTTTCGCCCTGATACCTAAATAATAATAATCGTGGTGTTCATCTGCCTAGTTTTAGTGCGTTTCGTTACCTTTTGGTGCCACGATTACTCTGATTATTCAGGATTTTATTACTTGATTGACTGGTAAGTTGAATCAAATGTAGAAAGGTGGAATATCAAATTTTCTGGAGATAGTAAGAAGCTCTCTTTACATAACTTCTTGGAAAAAGTTACTGAACTCGGAGCAGCACGTCACGTGACTAAGAAACAGCTTTTCGATTCAGCTATAGATTTGTTCGAGGGTCGAGCGTTGAAATGGTTTAGAGCCAATAAGGCACGGTTTAGCGACTGGAACGGAATGGTTGATTTATTGCGTCTTCATTTTGAGCCTTTAGACTATAAGTCAAGACTTTTCAGAGAAATTCTGGACAGAACTCAAGATCCATCTGAGAGCATTGTGGACTATATGTCCTGCATGCAAGCGTTGTTTAGGCGGTATAAGGATCTACCTGAAGTAGCTCAATTAGACATTCTTTGTCGTAATCTTTCTCCCTTTTATTCAACTCAACTGCCTGTAGTTAATACACTTGAAGAACTTGAGGCAGAGTGCCTCAAATTAGAGACAAAGAAGGGAATTCTTCAAACGAATTTACTAATGTTTCGATCCAGCCAATAATCCATGTCAAAGGGATAAAATTGATGAGCTTAATGTCAATAGTATGCAGCAGCAGAACGTCCGAAGAGATTTAGTTTGTTGGAACTGTCAAAATTCCGGAAATTTGAATAGGAATTGCCCAGATCCACCTAAGACGCATTGCTTTCATTGTGTTCGCCTTCGGAAAACGGTCCTCGAGGGAATCGCTAGGTCGTCCTATTTCCTCTCAACTACTTTTGACGGCCGACTCTGTTGACATCACTTATAAATGTATCCTAGACTATATTATCTCTCACGCTCCTGGTGACCAACGACCATATCTTCAAATTGACATTTTAGGATACTCCATGCTTGGATTGCTCGACTCTGGTGCCAGTAGAACTTTAGTAGGGTTACCTGGGTAGGTACGAAATTCTCAGAGGTTTGGGACTCAAATTATTCAAAGAACCTAAATTCTTGCACAGTTGCTAATGGTCAGGTGTGTAAAAGTATCGGTTAAATCCAAAGGCCTGTCACATTGATGGCTAAAACAAAAATTATTGACATCATAGTACTCCC